ATTTAACGTGTTTTGTTTTATTGATTTTGAGTCTATCTGAGTATTAGAATTATATGGACTGCCTCCTGATCAGAGATGGGCGAGTCAAGCTATTTTTCGAATTGAGTCGAGTCCGAGTCATTTTGTAGCAGTGTGGAGTTGAGTTAAGATATTTTTATCATTTTTCTGTTTTCTGTTTATTTTTATAAAGAACGATAACAATAAGTTTTTCATAGTGCGATATTTTTCTAGTTTTTTTTATGTATAAAAGAAGAATAGTCGTACAAAAATAAAGTGACACAACTACTATAGATTTATCAAAAAAATAAGAACAGTAAAATCAACTCTTTTCTTTTATAGAGTTACATAATAGAGAATAAATACGTCACTTTTGTAAGCAAAAATCTAAACTTAAGAGCTCTCCTCGAAAAAAACGATCTCAGTCGAGTGCGCTCAAATTGCATGAAATTTTAAGGATATACTGGGGCTATAGTGGAGAGGCTACGATAAGATTTTCAGTGCGATATCATGATGTTTGACTGAGATATTCGTCAAACAAATTCAAAGATAGCTGATTTGGCATCCCAAATTTCTCTGTCTGTGCTCATTCTATATATTTCATTTCTTTTGTTTAAAACAGCATGGCAGGATGCGGTAGGTGAGCGAGCCCTTTTGTTTAAATACTTATTTTTTTAACGACGAAAAGCAGTCACAAGTTAAATAACTAAAAAAACTCTCAAGAAATGAGTGTCTAATCATATAAGTGTCTGTATATATATAATAAAAACAAAGCTTAATTTAGAAGAAGGGTTTGGTCATGTACTGCATCTTGATATGTTCTTTGAATCAAGCAAAAGTTTAATATATCAAACGAGTCTGGACGAAGAAATTTGGGATGCGCGATCGACAATGTGTAAACTGAGAAAAAACGAAAAACATTTTGTCTTTTATCTAAAAAATGCATATTTTTTCAACGAAAATGGTCAAAAGTTTTGACTAAAAGTGAAGGATTAAATAACAAATCATATTGTTTCTGAAAAAGCAAACTTCAGGCTATCTTTCCATGCATTTATCTTAATTTCGGTATTTTTGACGAAAACTGATTTTGTTTTTTTGAGAAGGAAGAAGAAGCATTAAGGTTGTTAAGCAACAATTATTTATTAATATTTAAATTAATGTCTTATTGCACGTTAAAGATGTTAAATGCAAATATTTGCTTGTAAAAATTTCGAACAATCCGATTTCATTAGAAGATCGCTATCAGAAAAAGCACGTTAAACTAGTGCTGATGTAGTAGAAATACACATGATTTTTCTAGTAAGGCTATTAAGAGATCGATATGAATTTGCTTTTTTTCGAAACTAAGATCGCTGGTTAAATTTTCTTCTTCCAGAAAACCATCGATTTCTTCTGAAATTCATTTTGATGTTGAATAATCAACTTTTGCTTTTTTGAACGAATGACTCGAGTCAAACAGTCGAGTCAACGTCTCACAATTTTCGAGTCCGAATCACGACTCAGACTCGTCCATCTCTGCTTCAACACATTCAAAGACGTAATCTGTTTCAGTTACCGATCGGTCCAAGCATCAGACCGACTGGTCGCTGGTTGTCCAGGTAATACCGGTAGATGGACCAATCGTAAAAAATGCAGATAGCCTCGTGTCTGCTATACGTAGATCTTTCATTACCTACCACATTTAAAGGGTACTGCATCACACGCTATTGCCATCCTATCTGCTAAATTAATCTGTAAAAACGAAAGGACAAAGGTTGTCATCCAATACATACACTTTTTAAATGGTTAATGTTGAAGTATGATAAAATTTATCGTTCATAGTAATAATCATAGAGGAAAGAATAAAAGATTAAAGTTGAACAAACTTTTCAATTCAAATAACTTTAATTAGAATGAGATATAGTGCAGAAAATTCCACATTCCTGTTCAATAGAAAGATGCAAGGAGAAAAGTGATTAATACAAAGACAAAAACATAAAAACTCGATGTTTCAGCTGTATTCCTATACGACGAAATCACAAAAAATGATGTCGTTGAAACCGTCACCTGGATATAATTAGGTGACGTGGTAGAAGCCAATAAGGCAATAGAAGCAGATGAAGTAATAGAGGTGAATGAAGTTAAACTTGAATTGGAGTCATTTGTATTTGAGTTTATCCAATTTTCGTAAGCAGCTACTCGGGTATATATACCCGAATATGCAGCTCGTGCACATCCAATACCATTACTTGTCACACCAACCAATACCCATTGATTGTTTGAGCTAAACATCATCAATGGACCACCTGAATCACCTTGACAAGTATCTACAAAGGTGAAAATTTAAAAAAACCTACAAAAGAAAGAGAAACAACCACATAAAGTTACCTTTGCCACCACCTGACACACCAGCACAAAATTGTACATGCCAATCAACCATAATTGGAGTACAAGTTGAATCTTGATAATCTATTGTTTGTACAGTAACTTGCTGAAGTGTTGATGATAATGAACCACCTTCACTCAATCTACCCCATCCAACAGCTACAACCTAATAATAAATATCTTAAATCAATTTTGAAGACGAGAAAACACTTACATTTGTTCCAACTGGTGGCCATTCACTAGCTGATAATGTTACTTGACTAACTGATGGTAAACAAATTGCACTCACATAAGGATCAGTCATTATCAATGGAGAGGCAAGTTTCAACAGAGCAATATCATTCTCGAAAGTACTCGAGTCATAATTTGAGTGTACGATAACTTTTGATACACTTCGAGTTTGCGTTCCCGACCATTGTCTATTTGATCCAGCGTAGATAATAAATTGGGATGCTTCGAAACGTTCTATGCAATGTGCTGCTGTGATAATCCATGAACTTGATATGATTGATCCACCACAAAAATATCTACCAGCAATAGAGATGGAGACAGCCCAATTCCATGTAGCTGAACTTGCAGTTTCTCCACCAACAATACGACCTACTGTTGCGGAATTTGTTGAACAACCACATGATGCACTTGTATTACATGAATAAAGAGTTTGATAACTTAATCTGACAACAATTAGTAAAATAATTATCAAAATTCGTAATACATCACTACTTTGTATGACTTTCATCATTCGAATCAATCGTTTACGTTCTTCTCCTTACTATTTCTCCAGCTTTTTCTGTAATATTTTGGTTGACACTTCTTTCTTCACGATTGTAGTTATTTATGCATAATGCATCACCATTGCACGAAATTGTTATTACTTGTAAGTTTGTTTTTATTTATTCTACGTCAGTAGATGAATCACAGAACGAATAAAACTCGCAAAAAAGTTGTTTTTATGACATAAACTACTGACGGGATTTTTTTTGAATTTTTTTCCAGCTTCATCTTTAAAAAAAGGAAGAAATATGACCGAATCAGAAGTGAAAGGTTATTGAATGTATTATAAAAGAGAAAAATAACTATGTATTTCATCTATACATGGAAGTAGTGTTATCGTCTTAATTTTTTAGAGAACAAAAACAAACTATAGTACAACATCAGAGAGCATGCAACATAAATTATAGCTTAAGTTGTATTTACACGAACTAACCAAATTAAAGATGACATAAAATAACTTATATCTCAAAAACAAAAAAACCGATGAATGCCTACGTTTTACTAATTATAATCAGGTACATGATGGATTATTTTGAAATATATGTGATTAGTAATTTTTGAAAATCTTGAAAAGATACCTTTCTAGGATTTTGAAATAGAAATCGATAAAATCATTCTTGATTATTTATTCGAGTCATTTTATAAATAATTGTCAATATTTTAAAGTTTTTAATATAAAACAAGAATTAGGATCTTTTATTCTATTGTTTTGTTCGCAAGTTATAGATGGATCTTCTATTCTGCTCTTCAAAGAAGTTATGTTTTTTTTTGGTAATCACAACAACAATTTCTAATTTCAATCTTCTTTCTTCCAATTCATTATCTAGCATGTCAGTGTAGAATTTTTTATTTATTTTGAAGAATAAGATCATTCACTTGTACCGTTGATTGTTCTATATTGGTGAATAGCTGGAAAAAAAAGACAATTTAAAATTTTTTAATCGATGTTATTTAAATTAGCTGTTTTGTATTGAGTTTTGATTGATGTAGATGGAATCTGTTCAAAGTGAATTGCAAAATCGAACATAGGCAGTAATTTGTGATGATATGTAGCTATAAGTACAATGTGTGATTGTGATAATTTATGAACTTTTTATAGTCAAATTATCATGAATATAACTATTAGCAATGAAGATTGAAATAGTCTAATCCAATTTTAGCTGACCCAGTAGTTTCATTCTCAACAAGACGAGTGGCTGTTACTGAATTCATTGAATAACTACATAATCTGTTTGATAATTTGATGTAATAACGTTGTCTCAAATTATTATCTAAAATTGTAATGTAGCATTACTATATATATACAAGGTGGCCCAAAAGTAACAAGACATAAAGGATATCCTAGACTTAAAGCTTCCAGATACTGTCTTCTATGAGATCACAATGATGCAAAATGGCCTTCCCATGTCTTCGAGATACTATGTTCAATCAAGTTAAAAATTTTTTCACCGGCACCAGAGACTGTTCGGGATGGATTTTTTTTATCCTTTATCCTTCTCGCATAGTAAAGCCAAAATATCGAAGGTACTCTTAAAAAATCGCATGTTGTTTTGAATAGAGCTATCAACAATCAACAGAACAATATTTTTTGAAACAAAAAATAAAACTACCCATTCGAAATAGTATATCGTATATGTGAAAAAAGTTTCTGCTCGGTCGAACCTACTAGACAAGAGAAACGCAAGTGTTTCTGCATTTTGTTTTCATGAAAAAATTAGTTTGAGAAAAACGCAAAACAATGTACAATTTTCGCTAATTTGATTTAGTCTCGGATTTTTTTAATGTTTAAAGACAATGTTGATACTCAGTAAATTGATACTACTTCAGACAATACAATGATCACAAAAAAAAACAAAAATTTTTGGGCACGAAAGGACAAGGGGAAACTCTTAAGTGGAAATTTTGTTGTAATTCATTGAAAATCTATTTATTATAGATAAACAACGTTTTAATTTATAATCTATAGTCGAAATAAAACTTAGATAAGTTCTTTCAATACAATGAATCGAACATTATACGTCATGATTGATTTTGGCTCAATATATCTTGAAATATCATATGAAAAATGTCATTCTATACAGTGTATTATGGATGATAACATATCGAAAACGAAAATGATATATATTTCATCAGAATACTACGTTTTGCTAAATAATTAAGATTTTTTTCACAGTATAGATCCCATAACTCCTTGATGCTATCGACTATACAGTTAACGTTTAATGCAGATGCATGACAAATACTAGGAAGTAATGTATAAATAAAGTTATTTAAACCGATATATAAAAACAAAAGCTATTCACCCAATACACTATTACAGGATGATATCATATGTCGGCATATCCACGATCTATATGTTATTCCTCGTAGTTCACTCTATATACATATATGACATTTGTTAGTTTTTCAGTTTTTTTTTATGACTTCTTTCTGAACAAACAGATCGTGTGTAAGCGCAATCACATACAAATATATATATAGAAAGAGAAAGAAAGGAAGAGAGAAGAACCAAAACATTCACCTACAACTGTAATCGTCTGAAAAGTTCGAAATCGGCAAATACATGTATTGCAATAATTCTGCTCGTGTATTTTATTTATTCTCCATGCAGAGCAGCACGTAAATCATAGAACGAATGGCGTATGCAAACAAATCAAATTCATAGTATTATACATATAATGTACGTTGTCAACTCTCTTCAAATTTGTAAAGGTATCATTAAAAAGAAACAATGAAAAAATGAGCAGATTGAATATTACTACCTACGAAATGTACTTTTTCAAAAGTAATTATTTGTACTAATTTTCAATATAGAAACAGACAGAGCAACTTTGTTTATGGCAAAACAAACACATAAAAAACGAAGTATTGTGACAAAAAAATACGCCAAATAAAGATCACATTTTTCTCTTTGCTGACACGATAAATTCTGTTTCTCTCACCAATTGGCAAATGTCATAATCAGGCAGCAATAAATAATATATACTAAACTATTAATAGTCATATTGAATCATTCTAACTAAACAATATTTATCAATCTTTACTATAAAAATTAATCTTTTTTTTACGTTTGAAACTTACGAGAGAAATTCTTCAACTGTTCAATCACGTTTGGATCGAGACGATGTGCATTATGTAGATCTTAATGAACTACGAATACTCTGAAAAGAGTTCGTGTCCTTAGATTATTGCTACGAAGATACTGCACTTTTACAGTATTTTTTAAAATAAATACCATAATCCAGAAAAATTTATTTTTGAATTTCGGCTTGTAACGTTACATAGAGATAGACTTCAACGATAATAGTCTTTTGTAAATGTTTCAGATCTTGCCGCTATTCCTATCCTAAGATAAAACTATGGTCATAGTGTATCTCTTACATCACTTCAAAGATGGAACCGGTATCGATGATCGGCCGATCCGTGGATAGACGGTCATTACCGGTGTGTCTTATGTACTTTTTTTGCTTTTATTATCTCATAGAGGATGAATAATAAAACCTTATTGAAAGTTGACTACGTCAAATATCACTATCCACAGATGGAATAGTACTATAATTCATCAATTCAGTGTCGATACGGATTTCAGACCAACCGACCGGTAACCAATAAACCGATTGTTATCAGTATCAGTTATGAGAAATTCAGACCGATTTCATCTTTGCATCACTCATATAAGCCAGCAGATTTTATACTCTTAGTTCAGAATAAAAGGAAATCAAAAAGATTTGAAACTTTCATAATAAACTAACGGGTGGCGCAGATTAAATGAGCCTCTCAGTATTTTGCATATTTTTCGTCTATAATTCGGCATAGAAAAAAAATTTTTTTATAGCAAGATTTCTTGTCAAATTCTCTACAAAGCGTAGATATTTTTATTATCTTAAATAATTTCCATTATTTTGTAACATGCGATACAATTGATTGGTCAAAGAAGCACAACTTTCAAACAAGAAGTTTCTAGCAGATAGTTTCATGAGAAGTCAATCAAAAAGCAACGCAAAGTGTTCAGAAAAAATTTTTTTCATATGAGTTTTTGTAGAGCTTTTTTTGCTGATTCTTTTGGTAAAAAGATGTTTTTGAATTCCATTTATAAATGACAATGTTATAGTCGAAATACTAAACAAGCTCGAAATGCAACTTCGCCTTGTGAGTAATATAAAAAGTCAATTAGTATATCTCAAAACGGTTGTATTGTGGAGATATATAAGACAGCAAGTTTTGTAGAGGAAAGTCCGCTCTACAAAACTCTGTAGGCGATTTTACAGATACACTGGAATATTATGAATAAATTCCGTTAGAACATTGTAAAGAGTATCTTCCCTAAAAACAGAAGGCATCATTTCTTTGATCCTATACAATCTTCCATCGAGATTTCTTCAAAGTATTTAAATGTATTTGAGAATCCGACTATACTGTATTGTAGAGCAAACTTTCCTCTACAAAACCTACTGAGCTACATTCCTTCATAGAACAGCAGGTTTGAAACATGCTAATCCTACGAAAAACTTCTTGTTTGAAAGTCGTGCTTCTTTGACCAATCAATTGTATCGCATGTTACAAAATAATGGAAATTATTTAAGATAATAAAAATATCTACGCTTTGTAGAGAATTTGACAAGAAATCTTACTATAAAAAAACTTTTTTTCTATGCCGAATTATAGACGAAAAATATGCAAAATACTGAGAGGCTCATTTAATCTGCGCCACCCGTTATATAGTTCTCGTTATGGTCTGTCTATATACAAAGTTTCAAATCGAAATTCGAAAATTAGCTTTTCTGATATTCTTGAGTGGACCACGGCAAATACTGTAAAAAGTACAGTATCTCAGTAGCAATGAGCTAAGGACACAAACCCTTTTCAAAGTATTTGTAGCTTATTTGAATCTACATAATGCACATAGTCTAGACTCAAAAGCGATTGAACTGTTAGAGGGCTTCCTTCATTAGAATTTAAAAACAGAACTTTTAATAAATGAAGATTTTGTTGTTTTAATATGTGATATTCAAATAAATGATCTAGTATACAAGAGATTGAACAATAGACGATTTAATTAAAAATTCAATATAAGGTTTATAACCACAAAAACCAAGTTTTGTTCAAATATCTCACAGAGAAGCACTGTAAATGCTGTTCCAAAGAATATCGTTTAATACAGGATTCGATAAACTTCTTCTTTCATATAAGATATAAATCTTCTAACAAGCTCTATTTCGAAGTAGAATTTATTTATTAGACTGTGATCACGATTTGACAAAAATCAATGATACTAGAAGATGCTATAGTAATATTCATATTGACTGTTGTACAACACATAGAATATCTCTTTATTTGATACTGTATAGCTCGTTATCTTTACGTTATGAAACTTGGAAAAGAAGAAGAAAAAAGAAAATCTTTCTTATTAGGTAAAGTTTTTTCTAATGTCATAAATGTTGCAAAAGAATTTCCTGATACCTTTTGTTCTAAGATTTGTATGACCTTCGGAAAACATTTGAGATCAAATTCTTTTATACATTTTTATACTAATTTTTTTTTTCATTTTCTCAGAAGACAATAGTCAAGTGTCTACGATATTGCATTGTAATGCTATATTGAAAACAAAATTAATGCAAAATTTTTATTCTATCCATTCATAAAGAATTTCATTTTCTCTAAAATGATATATTTTCGTTAAATGTATTAGACTCCTTATTTAAATGTACTTGGCTGCAGGCTTATTAAATGTATAACAATTAACATATGTATGTCACAGCTTTATGCCAGATATCAATATTTTAGTAACAATCATTATATGTAAATGATAGCAAAAAAAAAAGTGAAAATGATAAACAGAGAATAGTATACAAGCTAATATGGAAATCTAGACAATTTATGAATAAATAGTTACGCAAAAATAATAAGTACATAATGTACTACTTCCTACTTACTGGCTAATTATTAAAATACTCAAGGAAAAATACTAATAAAAATTAATGCTATATAACCAAGCATGTGTGTTAATTTTAAATCTATCATTATACATCTTCTCAATAAATACATGACTACGAACAATGAAAAAATAATCGTGAGTCTCCTCAATTCAATATTGAAATAATGAAAAAAAGCTGTTAGTGCAATCCGTGTCGGATCAAAATATGAAATACGATGTAGCTCCTGTTGTTAATCACAAGGAGATTGCTTTACTTTATCTATTTTGCAATACATTTTTTCACCATCCTTTTACTTAATCATCCAGAAATGCAATAAGGCAGTAGTTCATATATTAGAATGAGACGTTTTTGATATACAGTTTGTGATCGTATATTTTCGTCTGTCAAGGTCTGTGATGGTCTCTAGCTAGCGTCTATTATAGTCTGTGGAGAAGGGGTCCAAATTTCTGCCCTTACACTTCAATACTTTAGGCTTATTGTCAAGATTTTTAATTTGCTCAAATCTTTATTATGCATATAAATAGTTTTAGTTATTTTCTTTGTCTACATCAATAGAAGCATATGTCATCACTGAAGACAGAAACAGACAGACTGGTTGAGTCTCGGAAAAAAGGAGTTCTGTGTGGACAATTTGCAAAGTAGTGAAATTGTTGTATGGGCTAATCTTAGAAGTAGAGAGCGTGACGTCCCACACGCCTCCATAAACTATGGTGATGTATATCAGTAATTTAAATATTTATTAATGAATCAAAACTATTCTAAAGGCTATAGTAAAAATGATAATAATTGAAACTTTGCATATAAATGAATAAAATTAATGGCAAAATTTATGAAAATATGTAAAGAAAAATTAATCTTTGTGTTTATATGAATTTGAGTAAAATAAGTAGTTAATATATTTTAGCCTTTATCTAGCGACACCTTTGACAAAGGTACATCAATGATCAGATGTTAATGAAAGTTTTGTCGACTAATCAAATAATCAGTTTTTTCTTTCTTTTCAACATTCCTATTTTCTGCTTGGTTAAAAAAAAAACCATTCATTCATTCATTTGTTGTTTGATACAAATCGTATGTGTTCGTATAGCCTTTGTGGTTGCATCATTTTTTTTTATTGAACATACATAAAAAGAAAAAAAATATATATATATATACATATATTATATAATTGTAATCAAAATAGTTCAATGTCAAATTTTTATTTACTTCTAGATATTTTAGTGATGATAAATCTATAAACAAATTATATTCAATTATGTATTATCAAATGAATTTTTAATTTGAATTTACTCTTTATAACAAAAGATCATTTTCATATTTATTATACTATTAGTGATAAACAATCTACTGAATGAAACTAATAATTGATAAACATTAATAAAATAAAAAAATTAAAATTTATATAAACAATGATAATTATAATTAGCTTCTAATATATTAAACTAATTGATTCAACAAATATTAGATTTATTCTTGCATCATTTTTACTTCAAGGTACAATGTTTATTTTTATTTTTTTACTTTCGATTTCATCATAATTAGATAATCATGCGAATGATTGTTCATTTCCGTACTTAAAGTAATCTTCATTTTTCTTATTCTGAATAAAAATAATGATGAAAATATTTTAAGATATATCTGTTTAGTATAAATCGACATTAACTTAATTAACAAATAACTTTCTAAACTTATGATCAACAAGTCTAAGAAGTTCAGAATAGACTTCATGCTATGGATTATGTTTATGATAAAATTTTCAGTAAAATCGAACTCGAAAAAAATAGATCCTCCCAAAAAAAAAATCAGTTTTTCAGAGTTCTGCTTATGTCTTTTTGTTTTACTATCATCTCGAGATCTTCGAGAAGGATTTACACTATATAGAATTGGTTTTTGAATTTATCATTCAGATTGTTTCGTTTCTATATTCGTACTTTTTTGTATCATATCGCCAAGGCTTAGAACACTATGTAGTATCTATAGGACAAAAAAAAATCATTGAAATCGGAAGGCAGCAGTTGAAGAGGTTCCCTTGTTATCAGAACAAAGCAGTATTGGATGGATAAGGGAATTCATTCGACTGATAATCTCCATTTGAACCCATAGATAGACGTTATGATTTAGATAAAAATTCGAATAGGATTCGTGCCAAAGGCCTTTCTTCTCAAGTTATGATCATTTTTACTGAACTTTCAGTCTATTGCAGAACATCACGAGAAAAATCTCAAGGAGGAGTTTTAGCTGAAACGGATGACTGCTCCTTAAAACATCTGTTTGAGCTAAAATTTTCAGGATATCATAAGCGTCATGAGAGCTACTGTCAGAGCGAAACTTCTTGTTGCAATTTTTTTTTCGTGATATCATACAATAGGCTGAAAGTTCAGTAAAGTGGTCATAACTCGAGAAGAAAGGCCTAATCGTACGAACTCTTTCATGATTGTTAGCTACATTGTGAATCCTATATATGAGCTCAAATGAAGATTATATTAGTCGAATGAGTTCTCTCGTGAGTTTAACTCAACATACATCTGTTTCATAAGAATTAGCTAAAAGAAAGTCTAGAATCTAGAGATATACTCTTTTTTTCTTTTTGCAAAATCACATCGTTAATGAAATGAATTTATCTATGTAAAAAAAAGTTTCAATTTTAATTAGTTTTAAAGTCATCATTGCGTTCTATTCAAAGGTAATTATGAAAAAAGCTAATGAGTTCATGATTATATTCTTCTGATAATATTCTTGCGAATACAAATTTTTCATTTTAAAAATCAATCTTGTCAATCGAATGTTTCTTAACAGAATCTTATACTATAATATTGTCGTGTTGATTGTTATATATTCAACATTCGGTTGACCTAGTCAAAAACAAAAAGAAAAAAAAACTACTTTAACGATTAGTTATATGAGAAACTTCCAGGACATGTTTTTCTTTCTTTCTTTCTGTTTTGTTAAAACTTGCATAGCCATGCCTGTTGACACATAAATATAATATCGACTAGGTAAAGAAATTTTTGTAACGATAGAATAATAATGAGGATGATGCAATGTAAAGTAAGACATAAAAAGCCTACCTGTGTGCAGTTTCATGTAATACAAATTCTTTTTTGTTATTTGTTATTTATTAATAAATAAAAGTAAACTAATATAATCTTTTCTTGCAAGAATATTGTGTTTTACTATTTATTTCAGATGTCCAATCGAGATTCCATATCGCATAAAGATGATCATAATAATGTAAGGGTATCAATTGAATCTAATGTGAAAATCAATATTATTATTTTTTTGTCTAGGTTGATAAACATGTGACAAGTCTTTTTGGTACAACAGATGATGACGATGATAATGAAGAAGTTCCTCGTTCACCATTTATTCTTACTGGATTACCCCCAGAAGTATTCTCTTATCGAAAATGTTTCAGTTGAAATGTTTGTAATGTTGGTTGTTTTTTTTTTAGCCTCAAGAAGGTAACATTGAATATAAACTTAAATTAATCGATCCAAATCCATTTCGACTTGAACATTTAATAACACAAATGAATTGGCGTTTACAAGAAGGACAAGGTGAGGCTTTATATGAAATTGGTGTTGAAGATTGTGGTACATTAAGTGGTGTTAGTGATGAAGAATTAGAAGCATCATTAGCAACATTAAAAAAAATGGCTGATAGATTAGGTGCATCAATAACAAAATTATATGAACGTAAATTAGAAAATGAACGACATATTGTTGAAGTACTTGTACGAAAAGTTCCTGATGATCAACATTTTATTGATTTACGTGTTGCTGTATTGGGCACAGTTGATAGTGGAAAAAGTTCGATTGTTGGTGTTTGTACACATGGTGAACTTGATAATGGACGTGGACGAGCACGACTTAATTTATTTCGACATTTACATGAAATTCAATCAGGACGAACATCATCTGTAACGCATGAAATTTTGGGATTTAATGATTTAGGAGAAGTATAAAATTGAAAAAAAAACAAGAAAATTTTTTACTTTTGAAAAGTTTTCTTTGAATTTTAAAGAGTATAGATTATGGTTGTTGTCGAACAGCCAATGAAATTTGTGATCGATCAACAAAAAGTATTTTTTTTGTTATGATAAATTTATTTATTTTTTCTTTTTTTTTAGTTATTACTTTTACTGATCTTGCTGGTCATACAAAATATATGAAAACAACAATATCTGGTCTTTCTTCTCGTGCTGCTGATTTTGCCATGTTATGTGTTGATGCACCATCGAGTGTTGGTACGTTGTTTTCTTTTTATATTTAAAATCAAATGATTAATTTTTTTTTTAAAGTTGATACGACTCGAGAACATTTTTCATATGCTATTACATTAGATGTACCTGTTTTTGTTGTTATTAATAAAATTGATTTATGTTCAAAAAAAAGTATTCAAGAAACAATTGGATGTTTAACATATTTACTTAAACATGGACATAGTTCAATTCAACTTGAATCATATTCTGTACAAAATGAAGAAGATCTTGTTAAAGTAGCTGAAATGTTTGTTGCCAAAAGTATATGTCCTATATTTGCAGTTTCATGTGTAACTGGTGAAAATATTGATTTATTAAAAAAATTTCTTAATATTTTATCACCAAGATTAAGTGTTAAAGAACAAGAAAGACTTTCGCAAGCACCGGTTGAATATCGAGTAAAGATTTATTTGATTGTTAGATTTTATATTAATTTTCATTATATAGATTGATGCTATTTATACAAATAATTCATCAGGTACGGCTGTTGTTGGTGGAATATTACGAAGGTATGAAACAAAGGATATATCTACATAGTTATTGGAACAGTTATGTTATGTCTATAAGTGAATCGAGATCTCATATTGAAAATAATGATGTCGAATAAAGTAATAAAATCTTCAAAGTTCAGAAATTTAGATATTTTGACTATGAATAGGATTCAGTGAAATGAAGAAATTCCTAAATGGATTCGAACTCATGCATTGTCGAGTCTGAATTATAATCGATTTAGTAGGTTTTCGACCTCTGGGCCAGCTATTCATGGAAAATTCCCTTACAAGATTTTCATCTGGCATTATACTTATAAACAACTCTCATGGCCATTAGAATATCCGTAAAATTTCATCGCAAACAAATATATTTTTGGTGAGATATCGAATGTTTGAGGCATCTCAATTCTATGACTTGTCTTGTAATATATAAATATTCATTAAAGTTAAAATTTACCAGATATTCTAGTGGTCACGAAACTTATCTCCGGGCTAAGCTTCAGATAAAAATATCGTAAGTGAATTTTCCATGTATAGCGTACCCAGAGACCAAAAATCTACTAAAACGATCATAACTCTAGCTCAGTTATGTATGAATCCGAATCCTTTTAGAATTTTTTTAGTTTTACTGTGTCCTGCTCATAACCTAAATATGAAGTCGTACGATGTGCCACTATTGGATATGTTTCCTCGTCAGTTGATCGACTTGTATGTCTACTCAATACGATATGTCTAAAAACTGAGCTATTTCGAAGCTCGAGTGTGAAAGTAATGTTCTTTGCAAACGTATTATCTTAGAAGAGAAATATCTGTTTCAGCTGAAATTTTCAGGATATCATGAGAACTATTGTTGGGAAAAGTTTCAGGCTAAAACACCTTATTGCAATTTTTCTCATGATATCCTGCAACAGGCTGACCGTTCAGTAAAATGACTATAGCTCGAGAAAAAAGACTTAATGGCACAAACCCTTTTAAGATTTTTATCTACAGTATGAATCCTATCTATAAGCTGGAACGAAGATTATCAGTTAAATGGATTCTCTCGTGAGATTCGAAGCATCTTATCTGTGTTGACTCCATACATTCAATTCTTCGTTTCATGTAACATTGTTTTTTTTCTCTTTGTAGTGGTATAATACGTGAAGGTGAAAGTTTCTTGGTTGGTCCTCTATTAGATGGTACATTTTTACCAACTAAAGTAACGACTATTCAGCGATACCGCGTTCCAAGACGAATGGTTCGTGCTGGTCAAGCTGCAACACTTAACTTACCTCAAATAGAAGGTAGTCGATTACGAAAGGTATATAGTTAATTAAATATAAACATTTAATTTTATATAAATACTCTAGGGTATGGTACTTGTTTCATCAACATCTAATCCTGAAGCATGTGTTGAATTTATGGCCGAAATTTATCTTTCTATGCATCATACAAATACACCAATACGTAAAGGTTTTGAAACAACTGTTCAAATTGAAAATATTCGTCAAACAGTTTTAATTATTGATATGGATAAAGTATATAATAAATTTATTGTTTTTCTTTTAATTTAATATAAAATATTTTATTTAAGGAAGAATTATATGCTGATAAACATGCTACTGTAACATTTCGATTTCGAAATCGTTGTGAATATGTACTTGAAGGATCACAATTAATATTTCGATCAAGTAATCAAACAAAAGGTAGTGGTCGTGTTATTAAAGTTCTTTCTCAACAACAACAATAAAATTGAACAATAATATAACTATGTTTTTGTGTTTTTCTTTCTTCATGTATACAGATATTTATTTCGTCCAATATGTGTATGTCAAATTTCATACTGTACACATCAAATCGACTTTTCTTTTGTTTGTTTGCTTTCATTTTGAATCTCTATGTGCTTGCATATGTATGTAAGCAAATAGAACAAAAAAAAACAAAAATTTATCAATTTTTCATTTTCTTTATTTGTGTAACATCTTCCGTCCTTATTTGAAGTGAACTGATTAAACGCAAATTGTTTGCTCTGTTTTTGTTTTTGTATTCATGATATTTCTCTTGCTCTCTCAAATTTTTATTTTTTGATCTATATACGTATAGAAAGAAAATGTGAAAACAGCATACAAATTTCGATAATAAAAGAAAAAAAATCATATATACTTGTTCTTGTTTTCTTTTTTATATTCAAGCCATACTTCAATCAACATTGGAATTATTCTAGATAGAATAATATTAGGTAATTCGTTTTGATTTATTGTAATCAACAGTACACGATAAAAATGATTAAATATTAAAATAAATCGACAAAAATATGAAATATCTAATCAAATATTCAATGTAATATTTCGAATAACTTTCGAGTATTGATATACAAGTTAATAATTAATATTAACAATCAATTTTATTCATTCAAAGCAATATTAATCTATTGAAATAATGTGATTGTAAGTAAACTAAATGTGAACCTGAAAACATCTTATGTTTTACAGTGTTAATATGACAATCATAATAATATTCAATGATTATGGTTAAAGTATGCACGTAAATGTTTTTTTTATTTATGTATATGTCCCTGATCAAAATAAACGTAATATACCTTTCTTCTGTATTCATTCTTCATACCGGGAAAGTTAACTTTCGTTGTATGAAGGATGAATAGAAACGAGAGGGGCGTTGCGCATATTTTAATCAGGGAGATATATTTTTACACTTCATTGATTGTCTATTCATTCTAAACATAAAAAACAAACCCAAAGGAAAAGAGATACTTAGCATGCAATATCATGTTTAAAAAATTATTTATTCTTTTTGGTATATTTATTTTATTGAATATTACGTATGGAAAAATACATCAATCTCCTAAACGTATGAATTCAACTATTGTAATAAATACAACAAATTCATCGACAAATATTATACATGATGATTATTACGATGATTATGACTATCATGTATCAGATGCATATAAACATAGACTGAAAATAAATTTGTTTTTTATTTTTTTAATACTTTATATTCTTTAAAAGAAATTTTGAAAACAAAAAAAAAATATCTTTTAGATTTGATTTATTTTTTTTTCTTTTTGTATAATGGAATATCGCACAACACGTTTTTCTTTAAATTCATCTTCAACAAAAAAAACAAATTTAAATTCTTCTAATTTTTCATCATTATCAATTAATTCAACAAATAGTTCATATATTCCTTATTATGATACATATCCAGAAAATACAACAATATCTCTTGAACTTTTTCAATCATTAGCTATTGAAAGACTTCGAATATTAAAAACAATTGAACAAGTTCTTGCACGATTAAATACAACATTATCAGTAGCACCAATGAATAAAAAAGATGAAATTGAAAAATTAATAAGAAAAGAATTAAAAGATAAATTAAATCAGTTGAAAGTAAGTTTTAATCTTATCTTTTGAATTTAATAGAATTTCAAAAACAAAAAAAGAAAAACAAAAAAATTAATAAACTAATGAAGCATTCAATTTTATATCTTTTATACGTTGTTATTTTCTGTATCAATGTCAACAGATGTTTTTCTATGATGAAAATTCTCTATATAATATTATGTCTAGCAAACTGTTTACAGTTGGTCAGGTTATTACAATGAATAAAGTTATTTAAGTACTTTTGATTTTGTACTTTTCTTTGAATTCAATTTTGGCTATTAGACTTTAATGATGGTTTTCTAGAGAAGGCTAAGTCAGCTAATGGCTCATTATGTAGCGTTGTATCTCAGTTATCCATGCAACTACTTTCATGGAAGTTCATCAAGCATTTCTAGCACTTTGGCCATTTGATTGAGATTGTTGATGTGAAGAAAAATCATCTAGTGTCTTTTTGACACAAGAACGCAGTAACAATTCAGTGAATGAAGCTCAAACTTTTAGAAAAGCTACTACTACAGTTGAACATTAGTGCTTATAAGTTTTCATAAACAAACTGTGTATTGATGGGAGATGACATAGCTATAACCATCGGATTGATGAGGTGGAGGATTCAGATATATTCAGAGACTTCAATATTCAAGTAAATAAATTCATCTTTTGGATAAAGAGAATGACCATAGAGTGAACTCTGATTTCAACTCGAGAACATCAATAATTAATCATGTATCTGATAAAAAGTAGTGCAAAATTGAGTAGGCAGTGTTTTTCAGGTTAAAAAGCTTCATGCAAAGAAAAAAAGTATCATCCATCATAATTCTCTTTGTACTTAAGCTATCGATGCAGAACTGTATCTTTGACCTACACTCTTGATCAAATATGTGCACAAAAAATTTTTAAGTCTCTAGTATTTATAATAGCTGATATCCTCTAGGGTGGAGATCTTTATCAACTACTATATATATGTGATGGTTTTGAATCAACTCATAATTGACTTATGAGTATTACATAGTTCTATTTTCGACTTCTCGAGAATTAGTGTTTTATCGAACGCAGTAGTCTAGGGAGCAACATAACCTTGCAAAGATCTGAGTGGCTCTCGCAGAGTGTTGTGATACTTGTGCCACATACTATGTGTCTATGCTCCTAGAAATAGATGTTTGCTCTCCCGGAGTTTTAAATCACTATTTCGGAGAAGAAAATCTGAGTAAAATATTATTGAGAATATTTGCCATGAGGCTGAACTGTTTCTCATTGATGCTCGTTAGGTCCAAAATTTTTCGGTCCCGGACCCGGTTAAAGGAAAATTTTTGTACTTGGGTCCGGAAACAGCCAGACAGGCTCTAATTCTCATCTTCATCGAATTCTTCTTTTTCCTTGGAAAAACTATCCTTATATCGAGACAATCAGCCGTTTCCAATGACTCGATACTTCAGACAATTCTATTAGTCACCATATTTCATTGTCGATACTTTCAAGATCGGCAAAATAAGATGTTCCAAGACATAGTGTACTTCACGCAAATACAGCAGTTATATTTAAAAAGAGGATCGACTCTAGATTTGAATATACTATCGAACTTTACATCGCAAGTAGTTTCAGGAATATCATACTTGAGAATTACTATTAAACTTTCATTATCGAAACTGATGCAAATAATATATGATGTAAAAATTTCAAAAAAAAAAAGAACGATTTATTTTTCACTAAAGTAATTCTGCTATGAACAGGTTAAAATTGAATTTCGATAAACTGATGTTTGCTTAATTGAACAAATGATTTTCTAATTAATACGTAATTATATTTGTTTGTTTTGTTTTTTAGTTTATAATATTTCCATCATTTACTGGTGCATTATCAATTGATTTACAAAATGATATTATATCTCATTATATTCTACGTTTAGCATTTTGTCCAACTGAAGAAGAACGTCGTTGGTTTATAACTAATGAACTTGAATTATTTCGTTATCGTTTTCAAGTTTTAACAAAAACTGAACAATTAAATTATTTAAATGATTCATCAAGTAATATAAAACAATTTTATGAACTTGTTTCTGATGAAGAAAAAAAACATTATAAAGAATCTTTAATGTCATCAATAATAATTAAAGGTTTAACAAATTCATCAACAATTGCTAAATCATTTGATTCAACAACATATTTTCGTGTTCGTTTTCAACATGTACCTGATTTAGTACGTAAACGTTCATGTTTTCTTGCTCATGGTTATGCATATGTATCTGATAATGATATAATATCATTTGTTTTACAACATTTTCGTATGAATATATCATATCAAATGACATGTTCATCAAAAAAATATGAATTTATTCAAGAAATGGATACACGTATTGAATTAATATTAAAAATGTTAAGAAAAAAACGTATACATGGTACACATACAACAATGCATACATTTAATGAAAATGAACAAACAGAAACAATAACATTTGATATGTTAAATAGTTTATCAAAACGTTCATTTCCATTATGTATGCGTTATTTACATGAACAAATGATTCAACAACATCATTTAAAACATTTAGGTCGTTTACAATATCGTCTTTTTCTTAAAGGTATTGGTTTATCACTTGGTGAATGTATGAAATTTTTTCGTCATGAATTTGTTACAAATGGTTCAATGAATCCAACACAATTTGAACGTGAACATGTTTATAATATTCGTCATGCATATGGTCAAGAAGGAAAACATACATCATATACACCATATAGTTGTATGAAAATTATTCAAGATCCACCACCAAGTATTAATGAATATCATGGTTGTCCATATAGACATTGGGATATTCAAACATTAAAACAACGTTTAATAAATAATTATGATATTAATGAAGAAACAACAAATGAAATTATTGATAAAACAAAACAACATCATTATCAAATAGCTTGTCAAATTTTTTTTGAATATCAACATAAAGTTAAAAATTATGGAATTGGAATAAATCATCCAAATCAATATTTTAATGAAAGTCGAAAATTACTTACTGGTACAACAACAAATCAAAATACAATGAATAATTCCATGACACAAAATACCTCACAGATATAATTATGTCAGATAGATTCATTTATTATTTTTTTTTTGTCCTATTGTTATGATTTGTATAATTAGAAACAAAAAAACAAAACAGATATATATATATATTAGAGAATGGTACTGTTAAAAATCGCGTATTAAAATAAATCTTTTTTGGATAAATTTCTATCTAGACTAAGCATTGATAGATATCGATTGATGTCTACATAGTTAATCTTGAACGTATGTTGAATATTCAAAAGTTTTTAGAATGATTTCAAACAGAAACAAAGTTCTGGAACGAGAAAATATATTGATAATTAGTCAAGTCATAGACGACATGATTTTTATAAAGCAAGGTAATAGTGACCATACGTCATCTGGCGGTACATCCTATCATTTATATAGAAATGTGCGAGGAATCTACGAAGAGCACTAGATTTGTATTGCAATTATTTAGACAATTAAGTGATGCAAAAAAATAAATAACCGACTATCATTATTACTCTATTGTTGTATTCTTTGAACAGTCCATCGCGCTACTGTAGACTGGTATTACCATCACTATTGCATTTCTATTATTTTAGCAATAGAAACTTAGATGATTGAATATTTATTGAGTAATGAAAACGTATGGATTTAATCTATCAGAATAAATAGATGATATGACGCCTTCTCAATCGATTTCGTCTTTAATGGTATACTTCATTGATCACACTCAGACTCAAAAAACACACACCATGAATAGAATACAACGTTACAATATAAACAACTCGTAATTAATAACCTTTCAATTATTTGGTCTATTTCTTTATTTCAATCATTTAAAGATATGCCTTGAGTCTCTTTTTTGACTAGAGCTCATCGGATTGGTTGTGAAATAGGGATTTGCAAAGTAGTCCCGGCCTTCTCGGAGCCAAATTTTGATTTTTACGAGACTGGAACTTAAAACTTGCTAAAATGGTCCTGGTATATTTTCTGCTTAAGAACTAGACTGTATATTGTCATACTTATCATTTTGTTTTGACTATAAATCTACAAATCGACTCTTTTTTATGATTGTGATAAAAGCATAGATCTGCAAAATCACTTTTTTCGAGTCTGAATCGAAATCGAAACTATCTGGGAGATCCATACTATAAATAGTACCTACAGTTCTGCATATCCTAAATTTTGATACTATCAACGTGACTTATAAGGAAACACTGATTAAAGATCACTCATTTACATTGTTTATCGATACAAGAACTATAAGCTCTAAGAGAATTTTCTAAGTCACAGGGCTAGAACCAAGGAAAATTTTGAGTGAGACAAAACAAGTGGTTTTCTATTTCTCTAGTTCTAATGCATGGGCATATAAGGGTATGCTCATACTATTAATTTCTTAAAATTATGAATATCAATTTTATATATATTCAAAGGAGCTTACAGATTATTCAAAAAAAAAACCTTTTTGCTAGAAACGTAATCAGGACCAGCAGTAATAAAAATATTTTAACTGAGACCGGGATTGGAACCAGAAAAATTTTTTAACTGGGATCGGAACCAAAAAAAAACCAGGTGATCCCGCCAATCCCTGTCGTGGACCCAGATCTAGTCGGATCCAGGTCCGAAAATTTTGGATCCTATGAGCTCTACCCTACATATATCTCATTCGACTTATCTGCGAAATATGTAGGGTGTACTAGTCACTGAATACCAAAAATCGGAAAAAAGTATTTTGTATCTTCGGGGTGGCTATTCTATTCCGATTGGAAAATTTCATTGAAAACAGCAAAGTGCGGTTCGACCAGGCCCAGGTCCGAAAATTTTGGACTCGACGGATTCTACTTTTGACATACAATACATCCGTATATCATTTTGAAAAATATGAATGAATCCACAATCAAGATGAATATATGAACTTTGAAAAAAAAACATAATTTATTACTTTAATTTCGAAATTGTTTTCCATCACTAGATAAAAGTATGTTTAACAATCGAGCATATTTATTCGAAAAAAAATTTTCTTCAAATGTTTTTACTAAATCTAATTCTTTATTTAATAATTGTTTTTTATCTATTGATAAAAATTTTATTGTTAAGAATATTAATGTTTGTCTATAAATCCATAATGATTCTCTATCATAATAAAATTTTAACATATTTTCATTAAGTTTTAATTCATGTTCAATTATATTTTCATTTAAATTTTTTTTTGATAAAAGATAAGCACGAAATGAGAAAGCACTCGAATCTGATAAATTCTTTTCTAACCATAAACGATTTCGTTCTAATTCTTCATCGATATTTATATTTAAATAATTAATAATCCATCTTCGATATAACCATGATGCATAGTTAATAAAATGTTTTTCAGCTGTTCGATCACATATTTCTAATTCTTTATTAATTGATATTTTTTGAATATTTTCTTGTTTTAAAATCCAACGTCTATAACGAAATAATTGTTCACTTTTAGGTTTTAAATTAAGAAGAATATCTAAAAATTGAAGTTCTTTTTGAATATTTATTGTACCAGATAATACTAAACGTCGACGTATATTCCAACTTGTTAAACATTCAGTTACATAACAAAGTAAAACACGTGTTAAAATATTTAATTGATTATATTCTTGATAATCTTTTGAAAAAATAAATGAATAACATAATTTAACAATAGATTTTATTTCAAATAGATTTAAACATAAGTAAATATTTTCTTCACAATAACAATATACTATGTATTCATCATTGGATGTTAATGGCATAAATTCAATTGATTTACATTGTTCAATTGATGATGAAAGTAATGAAAGAAGAGACCAATCTGTTAAAGACATTATCTTTTTTTTCTTAACCTGAAATAATTCCATATTTATTTTATTTAAAAAAATAAAAAAGATCAAAAATTTTATTATTTTTTTTTCGTATAAAAAAAACCATACAATTAATCTTTTTCAATTTCAAAAATATTTTTAATTTCTGCTCGACAAACTGGACAATATTTTGACCTTCCCTCATATTGACTTTTACAATCAAAACAAAAGAAAATATGACCACATGGAATCATAACACAGTTCGCTGGGGCATCGTAACATAACTGACATAAACCTTCATCATCATGTTTCTTTTTTGGTGTCGGCTGAACAGGTACTATTTTAGTAGATGAAACAAGACCAATTAATGAGAAAGCCATTATACGACCATTAAGAAAAAAAAATGGATAAAATGGTTGACTTGGATCAGCACATGCTACGGTTCTTGTTGGTACAATTGATTCATTATTACGCCACATATGAATATCACCACTGCGATCAAATACAAAACGATATTCATCAAGTTCACTTAATCTTTCATCAAATCCTTCTTCGTTTATAATCCAAAATTCAGAACGATCATATAAACCCATTGGATCATCAGCTGGTAGTTTATCAATATTTTGAACAACATTTGATAGTTCAGCATTTGTAAAACCAATAACTCCTCTTCAAAAAAAAAGAAACAAAAACATTATAACATTGAATAAAGATTAAGAAATAATTATTTACGGTGTTCGATAGCTGAAATCAACGGATAAAATACGTATATAAAGTTCATCATCGGGTCTCATTGGAAAATCAATGAATAAATAAGGTCGTGATAGTTTTCGAACATCTAACTTAAATATATGAAATAGTTTTTATATTATAAGTTTAAACATACTTTTTCGAAAAACAACTTTATTTTGACAATATAAATCAAGTTCTGGTCCATGAATATCATGAAAAATAACTGATTGAAGGTTTGTCGGTTTTAAATGAGTAAAATATTTAATTGGTAGTTTATCTGGTTTTTGATCATATTGGATAAAAAATGTTTTACTATCGGCAATTGTTTTTGGTGGGGTGGTCAAAACAGCACCTAAATAATAATATGGTTGTTGATAAGTTTGATTATATCAGTCTAATGTTATCAAAAATCTTATATTTAGATTGGTCTTATAAACAATGAATAGTTAAACGTAATACTACTGATGAATAATTCAGAATAAAAATCGAGATGACAATTTTTGTTATGAATTTCAGTTGCATAGAAGTTAATAAGTTTGAGGCTTTAGATCTATGCTAATAAAAAAAATGTCATACGCTGAAGATCACTATGTTAGCCGGTTTTTTTACATTTTGTGTGCTTTCAAACATTGTTCTGTTAGCGAGTCGATTCCGTATGTTTCTGTTAATATTACCAAGCTTTTAAAATTATAAATAGAAAAAAGAATTGTTTTAAAATACTTTATGTTTACTGTTTGACTATTATTATTATTATTGTCTAATAATGACCCATAAAACAGGTTAAAAATCTTCACATATTTATTTAGTAATATAAAAACCACATGATTATCGAACTAAACATTGTCGTGAGCTTATAAATTACGAACAAAACAAAACTGTTAATACAATTTTTGTGGAATTAAAATGTGAAACATGATGTAACTGTTGTTGCTAATCACAGAGAAACTGTTTTATTCGTTCGATTTTGAAATATATTTCTTCATGATCTTTTTACTTTATTCTGTATGAATGCAAGAAGAACGTAGTTCATATATTATAACGAGACGTTATTGATATACAGTCTGTGATCGTATATCAACTATGTCTATCATAGTCTGTGGAAGGGTTCAAATTTTTATTCTGATACTTCAACACTCCTTTCACATCGTGTTTCACAAAAATTCGAAGCCATATTACTACGTTGTTTACATACGAATTTAAAGTTTTGAGACAATATATTTGTTTATTTTTGGTTTTCTTGAAAGTGTTTTCTAGGTCGTCAAAAGCTATGAATTGTAACCAGTATATTGTATACTTTTCGAATATAGTCTTAGAAATTTTATTTCAGTTTTTGTTCGAAAGTAGTGAAGGAAATTTTTAAAAGTCCAAAAAAATTGATTGAATGTTGAACCAATAGACTTTTTCTAAACCCTATTGAAGCGATCTGTAGACAAACTCCAATAGTACATTTTGTAGGGGAACTTTTGCTCCACAAGCTGATATAATAATACAGTTGTCAACATTTACTTTCGAGTTGTAATCATAAAAGTAGAAAAATGTAATAAAAATTTTTCCATTCAAACTATCTTTTGGGATTTTTAAAAGATCATCTGATTAGTCTCAAGAACGATTTGAGAGAAAATTTCTAAGCCTACATTCTGATCATAACTCATTGCTTTTGACATTCTCGGAAACATTTTCAAGGTAGTCAAAAATAAACAAACATTTTATCTCAAAATTTTCGACAAATTTGTTAGTTGAACATTTTTCAATTCTCTATACGAGCAATCATATTCTTCGTTATTTCATTTTCCTGTCATATCATAAATACAAATAAGTAGAATCATTCTATTCTAGCCTTTGTCTGTGACTTTGGTCAACATTCGGCCAATGGAGGTCGTCAAATAAATGTTGACATATAGGCATAACTTTGAAATGTTTTACTATTATTTTAGAGTCCATTTTCATCTCTAACAATAAGATCCTTTCTTTTAGCTACTCAGTTAAATAATGCATGAACCATAAATAACTGATCTCTTTCTATTTTTAAGATTTCTCTTCTATTATCCCCATGATTAAAGTACTTTTTTTATCAAAAGAAGCCGCTTGAAATTCTCTATAAAGATATGTGTGATTGGACTTAAAAGTTACTTTAAATATATTTCATAAAAGATGAAAAGTAAAGACATGCAAACAGCTGTAAAAAATAAATATGAAAATGGTGATAGTTCAGCAAAAGTTTATCGTGATTTAGATGGAGTAGTTTCATTAACAACAATTAAATCATGGATTTGAATGATCCACAATGCCGGATTTGTCAATTTATCACATTCTTCCGGTCGTTCGTGCACAATTCGAATGAAAGCAATATTTCAAAGGTTAAATATCATCTAGCTCAGAAGAAACGAGTATTAACAAGATGGTTAACTGCTGAAATGACTATTTCAAGAACAAGCGTACGACGAATACTGCATGAAGATCTTGGTTGTTTCCCATACAAGAAAATCAAACAACTAAAATTGACTGATCTTCAAAAAAGAAAGAGGCTTAAATTTGCCAATTGAGTATTAAATCATTATAACAAGGAAGACACCAGAAAATGGCTTTCTACTGATGAAAAGTACTTTGATTTAGATAGGATTTATAATAATTAAAATAGTCGGGTGTAAGCTGCTACTAGGGACGAAGTTGACAAGAAAGGTACCGTACATGAGAAAAAATAATTTCCACACAAGCTGATGGTATGGCGTGGTATATATAGTGAAGGTTTAACAACACCAATGATTTTTGAAGATGATACTATGGATGCAGAAAGGTACATCAAAGAAGTTCTTCCAATAGCTCGTAAATGCGACAACAATATGTTAAGAAACCACTGGACATATCAACAAGATAGGGCAAAACCTCACATACATCAGCTGAGCCAAGAGTATTGTGTTGATCCTTATCATTCTCTTGCATTTATCTCAAAGAACCGTTGGCTACCAAATTCATCTGATTTATACACACTAGATTACAATTTACGGAATGAACTAGCTGAATCTATGGAATGAAACAAAATCACAACAAAGGCAACATTGATAAACGAAATAAAACATTCTGTACTTGATTTTACTGTACGATTATGTTTAATCCAAAAAAAAATTGAAGAGACTATATTTGTTAAATAAAATATACCATTTTGTGCAGGCTTTCAAACGCTATCTTTTGATTAAAAGACAAGTGTTTTAATCAAGGGAATAATAGAGGAGAAATTTTAAAAATATTAAGAGGTCTGTTATTTATGACCTATCCATTATAACAAAAGTGTTAATCTCTTTTTTAATTTCAATTCAAATCAAAAAGATGTTTTGATCTTGACGTCATTCTACTCATATCTAATTGTCTTTCGAATTCGAATTAATACAACTTGTTTTATTTCCAAGAAATATTCGTCATATTTTGCTAATTACAGAAATATTCAGTCGTATACCTTTAACATTTCCATATAAATCAATAATACCCCACATTTGTCTTTGTACATCAATATTCTTGGAAATTTCATATTCTTTTCCATCCAATATATAAAAAGCTCCACTAAATAAGAAAGTAAATATTCGATTACTATTATTAAATAAAATACTAACTCTTGATTATAATAAAATGTTATCACAGTTTGTCTTGTTAATCTTTCAAAAATACGTTTAACATAAGATATTCCAGTCTTTTGACAAATATTTGGTATAGCAGATTTACATAATTCTTGTCTTTGAATTGAATCTGGATTGATTTGAATAAAACCTAAAATGAGACTTTTTCTAATTTTATAAATTTAATTGTTTCATTCGTTTTTTACCAATAGCTAATGATCCTAACCATTGACCACTTTCATCGATGTCAATAATTTTCATATGTATATGTTCATTCATGTTAATTGGTTTATTTGTAAATGTAATGCCTGATAATAAAAGTAGAATCATTAAAATTAAACAAAGAAACAAATAAATAAATAACCATTATCAAATGATGTATGTCGAATCGCTTGTAATGCATTATTATCTAATCTAATATTTTGTCCAAAAGTTTTTTGATGAAAGGAAATCTTAAGCATTGTAGACTGATCCATCATAGCTGGTGATCGTGCCATTCTCTAAAATAGAGATATTAGTTCACTTTGAACATAGTAGTCGCATTAATTCATATAAATAACACATGGAGAGCACTATGGCAGGGTGGGAATAATATGTACAATTAATAAGTATTTCGAAACTTTTTTTTTACATTTCAAGTCAATAGGCGGATCCTTCCAAGTCGTCATACGAATGAAAATGCATCAAACCATTGATTCATTTTATAATATTGCATATAGTGACCTCTGATGTTGAAATTTTTAATCATAAAAACTTTTTTCTAATATTCAAATCAAATTTATCTTATTTAATTAAAGAAGAAGTAATTTGATGAATAAAATATTTTATGATATTGATAAATATTAGAGGGCTGTTATCCGGTTGGGTACGTTGAGCCTCAAACAATGGTGTGTGTGTAACTTAGCTTCAACTAAAAAGAATAATTTACATTGATATATCGAAAGATTACTTTTTGTGAAATTGTTTCTAACTACGCAAAATATTAATTAATATTCGATGCTTTTTATTCACTTTAACTCGTACAAATATTTTCTTATGAATATCGACAACTTCAAAATTTATTTACCGTCCACTGACACAACGTCTATTAATACTACATGATCTAAAGAATCAGTTGAATAATACCCTAGTCGTTTCCTATTTTCTTTAAAATTTATTACATGACTGCCAATGTATTTCAACCAGTTCGTAAGATTTTTCTATAATCACTTGAACAAAAATCAGCATGTTCTTTTCTAGGTGGTGATGCCGTTCGAAGTGAAACAAATTTTAGTAAAATGTTAAGGCAATATGCAATCCAATAAAACAATCATTACAACAAATTGTATCTAATACTAAATGAATTACATTTAATAGTTGATCAAAATCTACTGAAACAAATATTAATACTGAACATATTTTAGAATCTCTAGAATCTCGTCATCCAGTTTTGATTAATATTGAAATTCGTTGCAAATTACAGCACTGATCATTGTTACGCAATATTTTATTGTCCGATTTTCAATGAAGTTTGAGCAATATCAAAGTTATATAAGTACAAATACAATTTGTATTATCATTTATATGTAGTATTACACGACAAAGTCATACAGATACGGACACAACTATATGTATTATTTTTCCGAAGTTAGAATCGAGAATTCCGGTCATGTACTATAGACTATGTATACAATTTTTCAATGTGATAGGTCAACACTTAAGTTCAGTCGATATTCTTACATTATAATTTTATTTTATGTCATATTTTTGTGTTTTTCAGCTTTGATTATTGGATTTGTCTATCATTTTAATTATTTCAAGAAGCATATCTGGACGATTTTTTTTGATCTATCGATCAGTCTCGTGTTTTCGCTTTAGAAACATTCATAACAGTGTAACTTATCAAAGAAAATATCAATTATGTTGTAGGATGAGGAGCAACGATACAATAAGTATCTTGCATGATTTTTCTATATGATCTTGGAATAAATATTTAAAAAAAGTTTACATATAAGTATTAAATAAAATGGAGTTTAGTAAAGAATTGCACAGCTATTGGAGTATTATTTGAATAATGAGTGAGAAAATCCTCGATCCCTACCGTATGTAACAAGATTCATGAAAACCAATCACAAGTAAAACCAGCTGTAAAAGTGTCACGAATGCCCGTTGTGAGAGTTACATCGATATATTAGGCTTGAACAAAATTTTTTATGTGATGTAAAACTTTGTTGAATCATCATGTATTAGATGCTATATGTGCATTAGTTGCGAATCTTTTATAACCGACATCATTCCTAATAGAGTTCATAAGAGTTAGTATCATTACAATTTTATATATGCTATTCTTGTTCATGGAACATTTCCTTTTCGTTAGTTATATTCTAATCGTGCTGTTCATTGTCGATAGGCTTTTTCTCTTCTCTTTCTTATTTACTTAAAAACCTACATCTACTCACTAACCTATATATTTATACCCTTTGTTTTGATGATACGTGATGCGTAATAAACAAGCTAGCCTTAATCAACGTAAAGTGGAAAACCTGTCTAACTGAGTTACAGCATATGTTGCAAGTTGTATCCGTTGGTGAATAATGGATATAGTTGTGTTAGTATCGATATGAAAGTGTACGAGAACGTGTCATAATATATCTAGAATTACATATAAATAACAATATAAATTGTATTTGTAATAATGCATCTTTGATATTGTTCAAGTATCGTTGGAAATCGGACAACAAAATAATAAATAATAATGCTTATTATCATCTTAATTTACAAATATTGTTTTATCCAAATTATCTCTGTCGGAAAGTCGATTGAAACCTCCGAAAGTGCGCACATAAACATAGGAACATAGTACGTGATATAATAATCACAAACTCTATGAGGGTCAACCCAATATTCGGAGGAGCATTGTTCGTTCGACCCTTACACTTAGATAAAACACTATTTACAAGAAATCTTCACATTGTCACAATTAAGGTGGCGAAACTCCGCTTTACTTCTATGAAAAGAAAAGTAATAACGAATCTCTTGTAGTTCCATTCGAATAACGAAGAAGACAATAAGGATAATATAACTGAATAGCTGGCTGAACTAGCTTGTAAAAAATAAGAACGTGCAGTTGAAACAGTTCGACTTACACAACAAAAACATTTAGAAGAACAAGAAAAAAAATATTCTCAAAAGAAATCTTTTAATTAATAATTCATCAAAATCATCATTACAAAATAACATCAAATGATTTGCATGTAAAACATCGTTTGAGATAATGATATTTTTATTTTTACAAATTCTACTGAAGTTGATATATCATCTAGTGAAAAACATTTTGTACAATTTTGTTAACGATAATTTATGTATTAATTTTCATAGATGTTTTATTAATACAAATAATTATTGTTCAGAAAAATGTAATTCTTTTTTTGTTTTGTTTTAGATATAGACAAAAAGGAAATGTCAGAAAATATACAGGAAACGGTAAATAAAATTATATAGAATAGATATTTTTATCTAAGATATTTATATTAAGATTGTGGAATTAATTAATCAAGCATCACTTTATGGAAAAGATAGTGTTAGGGTACAACATCTTCGACATGTACAAGAACTTATTTTACGAAAAGATCCAAGTTTACTTGATAATTTTCTTGAAGTAATATTTCAAAAAGAACTATTAATTTTAAATATTATGTATTTAGGAAGTACTCGGTTTTCAAACAGATAAAAGTCCAGAAGTGAGAAAAACTATCATATCGTTTATTGAAGAAGCTTGGTTAGTTATAAAAGATATTATCTTTTGTTTTATATACACATATATATATATATTATTTATTTTTCTAGTCAACATGATCCAGAAGTTATTGTTAAAGTGATTGATAGTCTACGACTTTTACTTTATGATGATAATGTGCTTGTACAAAAGAGACTTATTGTCAGTATGATAACGATTTATAGATTGACTTTAAAAGTAAGAATTTTAATTTTAATCATTTATTAATATAATATAAAGAATTCTTATTTGAGTGGATTGATCTAATAATTAACTGACATGAGTTATTCATCACATGATTTCTATAATGAATCTACTGATGTATTTGTTGACGTCGTTTTATAACCGAATCAATGAAAAAGATTTTTTTTTTTGCAGAAACATTAAACATAGTTTACAACATCGTTATATCATATTTTCAGCTTTGTTATTTGTATTTTCTCTATCGTTTTAGTACAATGTATTAGCAAAGAGCATCATCTATGCATTTTTGCTAAAAATGTTCAACATAGTGTTTTACACAAACACTCTTAAGGAGTATAAAAATAGTTTACTGACACCTTCACACTGATTACTGTACTAAATGCGTTGATCGAATGTGAAGGTTTCACTAAACTGCAGATGAAACCATTTAGAAATAGCACCTAAAAGATACGTGTATTCGATTTGCACACCTTGATAGATCAGATTAAAACAATCGAGATTAAAATTGGAATGAAACTTTGCAGAATACAGTCATGAAAAAGTAGATAATATTAAGAACTCACAAAATGAAGCTCATTAAGTTCTAAATCACGATGGACTGGTCAAAAAAAGTATTAAAACCTCGAAATTATATCAAATGAAAGTCGACTGTACCATTGGTACATGCAGTGACTTCTAAAATTCTTCAATCAGGTTTATTTTCAATGTTTTTCCACTGTTATAAATGCTAAGAAGAGTCCATATTATGATTTTAGCAGAGAATTTGATTTACAACAAGAATTTTTGGCAACATAAGTTATCCTTATTAGCTTTCCGAGGATAGGATTTTTGAAAAACTGAAAACCAAGTTTTTCAGCTTCTTAGAGTTTGTAATTAGAATTTTGGTTGGATTACTCAGAATGATAGAGCAAACAATTCTCTGCAAAATAAAGCGTCTTCTAGCTCTCCATAACATTTTTTTTAACCTAGATATATCAATTTTTGTGTCTTCCATAAGTTTGATGTATCTCGGTCAAAAAAATGCCATAGAGAGCTGGAAGACGTTTCATTTTGTAGAGAATTGTTTATTCTAGTTTCTTAGCGTTTACAGCAGTGAAAAAAAATTTGGTTGAATAAATTTAGAAGTTACTGTATCTAAAGAATTAAATGAGGTTTGATGGGAAATATGAAAAAACGAATGTTATTCATAGGTTACATATTTAAATTGTCTCATGTATTATGAATTCTGATTAGAACAGTCCACTTTCATCGTTGCAGTTATATTAAACGATGGAGTTTACTTTCTTAACAAATGACTATAGATGGTAGAATTTAAGACAATGAAATGATTTGACAAAAAAACAGCCATAGATCGTTCAGTTAAAATAATCAGTCTACAATTGTTTTTTTTTCTTTTGACGTTTTCTTCATCAATGTAAATAAATCTAGTGATATTTTATTCATTGATCTCGTTAAAAGTATTGCCAAAATAGGTTACTGTGATTCAAATTTTAGATTTTGAAAATCTTACAGCTAAATTCTAAATTCTTTCTGAAGAAT